TGGTTAATCTCTTCCCACCTCCCTCTCCCCACTTCCCTCTGAGATTCATAAGTCTGTTCCATATTTCCATGCCTCTTAGTCTATTTTATTCGTCAGTTTATTTTGTTCATTAGATTTCTTGTTCGTTTATTTTGATTTTTAGATTAAATTGTTGACAGATCTGTATTTATTGCCATTTTATTGTTCATATTTTTTATCTTTTTTCTTCTTCCTCTTCTTAAAGAATACCCTTCAACATTTCATGTAATGCTGGTTTGGTAATGATGAACTCCTTTAGCTTTTTCTTGTCTGGGAAACTCTTTACCTTACCTTCAATTCTGAATGATAGCTTTGCTGGATAAAGTAATCTTGGTTGTAGGTTCTTGCTACTCATCACTTTGAATATTTCTTGCCACTCCCTTCTGGCCTGCAAAGTTTCTGTTGAGAAATCAGCTGACAGTCATATGGACACTCCCTTGTAGGTAACTGACTGTTTTTCTCTTGTTGCTTTTACGATTCTCTCTTAGTCTTTAGCCCTTGGCATTTCAATTATGATGTGCCTTGGTGTGGGCCTCATTGGGTTCTTCTTGTTTGGGACTCTCTGCACTTCCCAGACTTGTAAGTCTATTTCTTTCATCAGGTAGGGGAAGTTTTCTGTTATTATTACTTCAAATAGGTTTTCAATATCTTGCTCTCTGTTGTTGTTCTGGCACCCCCATAATGTGAATGTTGATACACTGAAAGTTGTCCTTACACTGTCTTCATATTTTTGGATTCTTTTTTCTTTTTGCTCTTCTGATTGGGTGCTCACTGAGTCTTCCCTTTGAGTGTGTCACTTGTGGATGTGTACAAGTGTAAGCTATGGTCTGAAGCTGTCCACTGGGTGCACTGGCTCTGCCCCTCCCCCAAAGGTGCAAAATCAGCCACTGCCTGGGGCCACTGAGCTGGAGCTACAGAGCGATCTGCAGATGGCTGCTACTTGTATTGGGCTAGGAAGTGTTCAGGAGAGGCCCACCTGTGAAGCAAGGCAGGCTGCTGCTAGTACCAGGTCTTGGGCCTCTTATTGATAGGTTTGGGTCACACTGATACCAGCTGCTACTTGCTTGAGGGATTTTTAAAGTCTGAAGCCTAAGCTAGTACAGGCCATTCACATGGAAAAGCTGCTGCAAACAGCTTGGGTGGGGCTGTAAATTGGATAGGGCTGGATCTCAGGGAATCACCAGGGCAGAGCCAACAGTGGGGGCCACTCAGATATGGCTCCTAGTCAGCTCTGGGACTGGGAGGTCCCAGCTCAGGAACAATGATCCCAGCAAGCACCCCCATCTTGGAGGAAATTACGCTGAGTTATATCCTGATGCCAGACAATCCAGTTTCTCCCAATATGTCCCTGCATCCCCCAAAGCCACCGCCTGGCACTGGAGCTCAGGGGAAGAGAGAGGCTGTAAGTTCCTACCCCAGCCCTTTAAGAGGCACTGCCTGGAGCTCCAGCAGCCTCTGTGTCACTCAGCCACAATCCCTGCTGGTTTTTACAGCCCAAGGTTACAGGGATTTCTCTTCCCAGCTCTGGAGCCATGGGCCAGGGATCTGGTGTGGGGCTGGGACTCCTTGCTTCCCCGAGGAGACCTCTGCAGCTGAGATATCCCTCCTGCTCGAAAAAAAACTCCACACATGGCTGTCGGACCAGCCCATTCTTCCCCTCCACCCCTCCAACCAGTCTCAATGTACTTTCTTTACTTCTCTAGTTGTAGGACTTCCATTCAGCCAGATTTCAGGAGGTTCTAAATGATGGTTCTGTATTTTAGTTGTAATTTTGATGTGGTTGTGGGAGGACTCGAGTACCGGCGTTTAGCTACACCACCATCTTTTTATTCATTTCTTTTTTCAACAGCAATGCATCGAGCCTTTTCTATATGCCAAGCACACTAGGGCAGGCCGATAGCAGTGACTCCGCTGACAAAAAGAAAAGGCCTCAACCCAGATCCCTCAGTTACAGAGCCCTCAGTTTGCTGTAATTGGCCTGAGACTTTTCAGTGCTCAGGCAGCGGTGTCAAAGCCTCAGATTCCCAACCCCGACCCACTCCCACCACCAATTCAAACTCAGTAGGCTTGCCGAGTCACCAAAATCAGGAAAAGAACTCACCAGGTGAAACAGCGTTGGGCAGAGTCACAGAGAGGAAAGGTACAGTCATGGAGTTGCTTATTTCAACTGCTTTTTCTTGGTGACGGCAAAGAAGCCAGTTTCTGATTTGGGAGCAGCTGGTGATGGGGAAGAGGGAGAGTGTGTGCGGTCCCTGAGTGTGTGCGGTCCCTGAGTGTGTGCGGTCCCTGAGTGTGTGCGGTCCCTGAGTGTGTGCGGTCCCTGAGTGTGAGCGGTCCCTGAGTGTGTGCGGTCCCTGAGTGTGTGCGGTCCCTGAGTGTGTGCGGTCCCTGAGTGTGTGCGGTCCCTGAGTGTGAGGACAGAAGGCCTTGGGGTTGATTAGTGAAAGTCTGCCAACTGCACTGTTATTTCCTAGACTCTGATCTTGGGAAAGGCCTTCGACCTCTTTCTCCGCTTGGAGTCAGTGGAGGTGGTGTTGCTGCTAGTGAGGCAGCCTGGGAGCTGATTAGCAATGCAGACCTTAGACCTCCCAACGCATTATAAGACCTCCAGGGGCTCCATGTGCTTGTTGGGTGTGGTTAGCAGGGGGCTATCTCATCTGTCTTTCTGAAGGTTGGCATTTAACTTGGACTGTTCTGTCCCTTCTTCTCACCAGGCCCCCTTTACTCTGGATCATTTGAGCACTTACACGGTGCCTAGAACAAAGGCTAAAATAGTTAAATTACAAAATGTGAACTGAACACGACGGTGGTGCACTCACAGGAGACCATGAAAACTGTAAGCCAATTTGCACCTGCGCCACATGCTCGCGGTAAATGAAACAGGCCAGTGAGCCAGGGCAGGTGGAACAGGGAAACTGAGGCAGAGAGCTGAACAAACTGCAGAGCAATGTACAGCGGATGCAGGAGGTCCCCTCCCCGGAGATGCCAGACAGCCAGGCCTCAGCTGTACTTCAGCTCCAGGGCGGCACCTGGACCAGCTGTGATGCCTGACCACCCCCTGCCCTGACACTGACCCATCGGTGGAGACCATGGCCCTGGAGGAGCCCGCCTGGAACACCGGTGACTGTTCTGCTGGAACCCTCCCCCCTGACCTCCCCTCAGATTCCCGCCTGCAAGAGAGAAAGAACAGCCTCAAGACAAAGGACCAGGGCCTGCTCTCCCGCTGGGGGCAGCCCGGGCTGGCCCTTTCCCTCCTCTTCCCCCACCTCCTCCCCCAAAGGCATCTCCTAGCCCCAAAGGACCCACCAGGCTTGCAGCCAGGGAGCCATGGGCAGCGGCAGCTCGCCCCAGGCTCACCCCTGACCTGACTCCAAGCCCCTGTGCTCTGACTTCCCCGAGAGCGAGGGCCCGGCCTGGCTCTCCCGTTGCCTCTGGATGAGTCACGAAGACTCCACAAACGCTGACACGAGGCGGTGAGACGGGCCCCCGCCCTCTGACCTTCTTCCCAAACACCTGCCTGATCATGAACGAAGCTCCATCCGCCCCGGCTGCGGGCCGCCGGGCCGGCGCTCGGGAGGGTCCGCCCGCTGCCAGGGAGTCGCAGGGCGGCGGCAGGGCGGCGGGCTCGCACCGGGAGTGCAATCGCTGTTTTCAAGTCTTGGCGCTGTTTCGCCTTGAAACAGACCGGCACCCTCCTCGACCGGGAACAGAGGGGCGTCTGGGCCCCCGCTGCGGATGGACCCAAAGGTACGGTCGGGGAGAAGGGAGATGCTGCCAGGGCCGCCCCCGCGAGCATTGGTGGTTCAGTGGTAGAATTCTCGCCTGCCACGCGGGAGGCCCGGGTTCGATTCCCGGCCAATGCAGCCTGCTGTCTTCCCTTTTTACCGCCTGGCGCTTTCAACAAGGAGACAGGAGAGCCAGGTAGCTGAAGGCTGGGTTCTTCGGCCGGGTCCCCACTCCCCAGCTGTCGCTTTCAAAACAGCGGGACGCGGCGCGGTGACGATCCCCCTGTGGCCAATCGCTGGCGGCGGGGGTCCTGAACCCGGAATGTCCTGTTTGAACTCAGGTTTCTGCTTGACGTCGGCTCCCCCGAAAGCCAAATACTCGGAGCCGCGAGATGGAGACGGAGGAGCGAAGCGCAGGGCCCGAGCGCGCCCCCACCCCCACCCGCACCCCCGCCGCCCTCCCGGGGTGGAATCCGGCCTGTGGCCAGGGGCGCCCTGAGGTCTCCGTCCCGGGCCCAGCTTTTATGTAACCTTTGTAATTTGCCTGATTCAAATGAAACGACTGTGTTTAAGGAGAAGCTAAAGTGGCCCTTCTCTCCTCAGATGGCTCTTCCCCTGCAGGAAGCTGGGGCCTGGGGGGTGTGGGGACGGGAAGGAGCTCCCAGTCAGCCCTCGCTTCCTCCAGGCTGCCCTCCCGGATCCCTTCCTCTCGGGAATTGGGGCATTTTAGCCAAGGGCCTGAGAGAGAAGGGGGCCAGTGGCCTGGCCTCTTCAGGGACTGCCTGTCTCAGCTCCCTCCACCTTCCCTCCCAGCCCTGAGGCTCAAAACCTCCTAGCACCCCTCCCCACCCCCCACCCCCCTACCCCCCGCCCCAGCTCCACGCCCAGCGCTGAAGCCAGCACCTCCGAGCCTGGGCATCAGCTGCAGCGCCCATCGCTCCCGGGGCGCCCACTGCTCCCTGTTACCTCGGACCGCAGTGCACAGGCCTGCTCACGTGTGGGAGCTGCGTGTGAGCATCATGGGAAGCAGAACAGACATTAAAGTGATGACTTTCAGTAGGCGCTCTGAAATGGGGGTGAGGCTGATGGCCGAGGGCAAAAAGCAAGTTGTAGAACAAAACGTGTCCAGAACCGTGTCCGTCAAGGTCCGTGTCTATAAAGTGGTGACATCACCCACCTGTACATCTGAGCAAGGTCATTTCAAGCATCCCGGCCACTGCTCCCTCCGTTTTAAAATGAGGAGACTGCACTACATCGTTTCTAGATTTAAAATCTCCTAAATTTGCTAAAGACTTTACTCATTCCACGAACACCGAGTTCTTTACCACGTGCCAGACACCGCGCTGGGCCGTGGTGTAAGCAGTGAGCAAAGGCCCTGCTCTCCTGGGGCTGGGTCCGAGGGCGGGCGGGCTGGGCAGTAAACCCTCAGCAGGTGAGCAGGTGAGCAGGCGAGGGGGGTCAGGAGACGGTGGGGTGGAATCATACTGAATGATCAAGGAGGCCTCGCTGATAGGTGACATTTGGGTAAAGTCCATGTTGACGTATGATGACACGTCTGTAAGAAAGAACATCCAGAAACAGGGAATAACATAAACCCTGGGGAAGCAAGGACCAGGAGCAGCCGAGGTGGAGGCAGTGAGGCCTGAGAGCGCCGCCAAGGCCTGAGCTTTCTCCTAAGTGCAAGGGGACGCGTTGCGTGGCTTGGAGCACAGAAGTGGCCGGTAAGCACTTTAGAGGTGGCTCTGGCGAGAACAGGCCTGCGGGAGGCTAGCCGGCCTGGAGGACGGAGCCGAGCCGCGCTCAGCTGCTGGGCTGATGTGAAAGTGGAAGCAGGACTTGGTGAGCGTGTGTCTGAGGCCTCTGTGAGGGCCTGTGAAGACACAGGTCAGTCCTCTTGCCAGCAGGAAGTCAGTGAGGGAGAGCCTGGGGGTGGTTGGCTCTGAGCTGACAGGCCCTTCCTGCCCCCAGGCCCTCGCAGCTCCAGCTCGCCCACCAGGAGGCGCTGGGGAGGGGCAGAGGTCTGGCCTGCGGAGACCTGTAGCTCTTCCAGGTGCGAGGAGGAGGCGTTACTTGTCCTCGGGGCTTTTGGTCCATGTGACTTTGTCACTACTCCAGTCCCTCGCTGAGCTTCGAAGTTCTTTCTGCACAAAGAAATAGAGCCCCGTGTCCACTGCAAACAGGAACCCCATCACCAGGCAGAACGCGATTTGGGGCCACGGAGGAAGGACGGGTGAAAGGGCTGCGGATGGAGAAACGACAGTTGTTAAAGGCCACGGTCAGAATCCACAGCCAGGTCCCCAGGCCAGGGGCCGAGCCTGGTCGAGCAGCAGGTCGAGTCTCCTCGCCTCCAAGTAAAGCTCCCTCAGCACCGGCGTCTGCCCCAAGGGACATTGATAGGAGCTAAGGGGCTCCCCACGCGGTGCCACGTTGGCGTGTGGATGTTTTGAGCTGAAGGCAATCGAGACCCTGTGGGCTCATGAGAAACGTTTTCCATTGATTTTAGAGAAAGTGGAAGAGAGAGGGGAGACAGAGAGAACCATCGATGTGAGAGGAACGTGGGCTGGTTGCCTCCTGCAGGAGCCTCGACCAGGGCTGGGGCCAGCGAGGAACCTGCAACCAAGGTCCATGCCCTTGACCAGAACTGAACCCGGGACCAAGGGTCCACAGGCCGAACTCTACCTACTGAGCCAAACCAGCCAGGGCCAGAAATAACTTCTTATGGCCTATGTAGGGGGCAGAGAAAACTAGTTCAGTCCTGAGCATCTGCTCTTACCATCCTGCAATGACCTTCCGCCAAACCCCCCCCCCCCACCGTGCCTCACCTCATCCTTAGCTCAGAATGTCTTATGTCCCTTTCTGTCTCTGATTCTCATGTCTGTGGGTCCCCATACGTAGGTGTGTAATTGAATTTGCTCATTTTCTCGTTAATCTATCTCATGTCATTTTAATTATTAGACCAGATGAGAGAAACTTAAAGGGTAGAGAACATTTTTCCTCCCCCACGTAGTCATAGAGGAAAAGGTTTTTGTGGTCATGTAGGTTTTGCAAATGCCTTATGAAATTTAGTTTAAAAGTTTTCTTTACAACAAGGCTTCTCAAAGCCTTTAATGTGCATCGTGAATATAAAACGTGACAGGGCACAGCCTTGGGGAGAAGTGAACGAGGGAGCCCATAGACCTCATCCCCAGCACTTCCCTCGCCTCCTGCTGCGCCCGGGACTGGGCAGCACTCACGGCCTAGCCCTCATCTGGCAGAAGTGGCCTGGATGTCCCTGACAGGATGCACTCTGGAGTTCACAGCGCACAATTTCTCAAGATCAGATGGCGGCCTGGTGCTCTGTATATGAGAGACTGCCATGCCGCCTGGCTGCCCTGAGCTAAGATTGGAGCCGAGGCTGAGGGGTCTTGGGAGACACAAGCCAGCCTCCGAGTCCTGCGGACAGAGGGACATGTGACCACGTGGTCTCAGTGAGGTGGGAGAGGGAAGGTGGTGTGTCTGCGAGGTGGATGAGAGGATGAAAAGGTGGCTTTTATCCCCTGAGAGTTAAAACTCCCAGTGAGTGACACCGTTTCTTTAATCCCTGAGGAGGGAGCTGGACCAGCGCTCATGTCCACCCCGCCATCAGGTGCAGCTAGACACTGAGGCCCGCACAGGGGTGCGCCGGAGCTGAGGGAGCCCCGCCTCCCCGTCCTTCCAGGCCTGAGCTCCCACCTGGGACGGTGATGTTCACGGGCTGCGATGTGTGCTGCGTCTGCCCGAGGAGCCCTGAGCAGTGGTACGCGCCGCTGTGGCTGGCGTTCGCGTGTGGGATGGAGAAGCTGGCGTTCGTGTATGAAAACCACTTGGGTCTCCCGTCCTGGAAGAACTGGATCTTGTACAGGCGCCAGTTCCTCCAGCTGTGGCAGCGCAGCACGATGGGGGCCCCCTGCGGGACCAGCAGGCGGGGCGTCTGGAGCAGCAGCCAGGCTGGAAGACACAGGGGAGGAGAGGGTCTGAGGCTGGATGCAGCCCTGCGGCTCCTGTGGGGCTGCCTTACTCCCAGGAGCCAGAGGCTGTGGGCCCAGCCGCGGGAGATGCCTCCTGGCAGGTGTGCGGCTCTCTTACCTGTGAGTCGGGCCTGAAGGAAGGAAGCCTGGCGGAGTTTAATATAAAGAGTAGGAGCCCCTCGGGCGCCAGGTGAGGAGTTAGAAGCTGCCCCCGGGGGGGGGGGTGCCCCCAGCACCTCGGAGGTGACGAGCAGGACCGGAACCTGCCCATGCAGGAGGGGACCCTCAGGTCTCCTCTGATGGTGACCAAGGACACACAGCAACTCCAGGGCAAGCGTGAGGGTCTGGGCTCCAAATGGGAGGGCAGCTTCTGAACACGCTCTGGGAAGTGAAGGAGCAGCCAGGGGAGCCTGGTAAGGCCTCGCCACCTCCAGCCACAGCAGCAGGGAGCAGGCGTGAGCCCGGAGTTCGGGCTCAGTGGTGGCTCGGAACAAGTCGAACCCCCTCCCTTCACTGACGGCAGAGGCACCAGATTCCAAAGGTCAGTGCTTGGGAGGACAAGTCTATAGAGCAGGGGTTCTCAACCTGTGGGTCGCGACCCCTTTGGCGGTCGAACGACCCTTTCACAGGGGTCGCCTAAGACCATCCTGCATATCAGATATTTACATGACGATTCATCACAGTAGCAACATGACAGTTATGAAGTAGCAACGAAAATAATGTTATGGTTGGGTCACAACATGAGGAGCTGTATTTAAAGGGCCAGAAGGGTGAGAACCGCTGCTCTAGAGAATGCTTTGAAGACACTAGAAAAACCCAATCGCTCTAATTCCTATGAAAATAAAGACTGGCGCGCACTGCGCCTCAGGTAAACGAGCGCTTATGTAAGAACCGCAGTCTGACCGTGAAGGACAAGGTGTCGGTGATGAGTCAGCAGGAGGCAAACCTGGAGTCGGGATTCTGACCTGGGCTCCCCTGAGCTTTGGGCCCCGAGGCCTGTGGCTGCATTTCTTTGCACAGTGAAGGGCGGGGACCAGGTGGCTTCCCTCTAACAACCCTTTAGAGCAAAGGTTTTTAAAATCTCAAGTTTTGCATTTTTGTAGGAAAAGACAGAAGCGCAGCCAGCTGTTGGGGGCAGCCCTGGACCAGAGAGCAGGCAGGGAGCTGTGACGCCACTGGGCAGGCTTTGAGGCTGGGGGGCGGGGGGACGGAGGAAGAGAACCTTGTAGGTTCTTGTTTGTTTAATAATTAAATAGGCTCTGGACAGAGTGACAAGGGACAATGAGCACGCTCAAGTGCACACAGACCAGTATGTGCGGGATCACACAGACATGAGAGAGACAGGAAGGATGATGAGGGGGTATGGCCTGAGCTAAGGGTGCGGAAGGCACGGGGTCTTGGGAGAGGAGGAAGGTCATGCAGGACACACGAAGAGAAGATGTCCAGGAATTAGCAGCGCGCCCTGCCCTCTGGAGGGGCCATGCATAGTTCTTGCTGGTGATAACTTCATTTCTTCAGGGAGAGGTAAGGGCTCCTCAGGACCCGGCTGGGTCTCCATCACCTTCAGCTCAAAATAATTCCCAGGCCGAAGTCGCCCAGGCTGGGAGCGCTGTTCTGACCCCTGGTCAGTACTGATTGTCCATTCACTGGGGCTCCATCAACAGAAACGGGGCTCTCGGGAAACAGGACCTAGAAGACAGCCCCAGCCCCTCACGCAGGACTTAGCACTGCCTGCCTCGTGCAGCCGTCCGCAGGGCATACGGCCCAAATCAAAGTCAACTGCAGTGTGAATGTGCTCACAGTTTCACACACTGGGTGGGCGTGGCTTGTGTGCAGGACTTCTCCATGGAATCTATTGGACTGAACACTCAGACATATATGTAACCCTAAGTCAGACCAATTTAAACCATCTGATGAGTTCCCATCTCCTTCAGGAACAAAGATGACGTATTGCACCAAACTCCAAGCCTCCCCCAACTTCTGCCGTAGGCTTCCAGATCACACCTCCCCCTGGCCTCCTGCCCTGGGCAGAAAGGCCTCCCAGTGAGGTCTGATCGAATAACGGAACTGGTACCCTCCCCTGGGAACTGGCCTTCAGGCCACTTCACAATGGACATGCCACTTGCTGAGACCATTCTCTCTCCCCTACGACTTCCCCGCAATCCAGACCTGCACAGAGAGCTCTAAGCCCAGAAGAAGCGGCCAGAGTCCTTAAAAACCTGGCTCCCCATCTGCGGGGGCTGGCGCCATTTTGGGGCTCAGCGCATCCGGTGTCCAGATGACCTAATAAATTCATAATCCCCCCCCACTTCGGCCTCGTGTGTTCCTCCTCACCCATGCCAAGCATGCCCACCCAGGGCCTTTGCCTTCTGTGGGTCTCTCGCCACTGTGCTGACCACGCTGCCATGAGGCAGGAAGGCTGTCTGGAACAAATATTTCCTCCTGCTTCTCTCACCCCCGGTGGCCTGTTTGTGGCCTTGTCACCTTCTTGCTCAATCAGGACTGAGGCCAAGCAACCTCACATACTCCGAGGAACCCACATAGAAGCGAAGGAGGCGGGGGTGCGAGGGGAAATGACTGGGCAGAAACCACTTCCAACAGCTCGGGCCACACTTCCCAGAAACGGCCACCCCGTTCCCAAACCCTCTGCCGGGCCAGCAGCTCTCAGGTCCGCCTCCCAGGCCTCCCAGCTCCTCCACTGACCGGAAGTCACGTCCAGGTGCACAGGGTCGCTGAGGCTGGTCTGGCCCGTCTGGCACCTGTAGTCCCCGCTGTGGTTGCTGCTGGCCTTGAAGCTGTAGCTGGGCTGGACCTGGGTGGGGATGGCGGTCCCATCGTGGAACCACTGGGTGGAGTTGTCCCCAGGGCTGTGGGCCCCCTGGCAGGTCAGAGTCACGTTGTCCTCGGGGAACACCTGGAACCAGGGGGGCTGGAGGCTCACCACAGCCTTCGGGAGACCTGGCGGCAGAGAGCAGACAGGGCTGGAGCTCAGTGTCCTGGGAGTCCCATGGATTCCAAAGGAGCTCCCAGGGGCCCTCAGGCCGAGTCCACTGTAGATCCAACTACAGGCCCATGTGCTCTGGCAGCCTCCTCCCTTTGTGTCTTTGTGGACCCAGGAGGAGTCTTACCAAGAATCCAACCCCAGGCCCCTCTAAAGAGGGGGCACTGCTCATGCTGAGCCCAAGCCCTGCTCTTAGTGGGACAGGCAATAGCACCGTAAACCCCAGGCAGCATTCAGCAGACTCACCAGCTCCCCGGTCTGCAGAAGCTGTGAAAGAGAAGAGGGCGGTCAGCGGCGGGTGCAGGGGGAGCCCAGGGAGCAGAGGCAGTGTGTGTGGGGGCGGGGAAGGGGGAGCCTGCACGCCCTCTTCCCGGAGGACCCACAAGAGCCTGCTTCCCTTGTCGTCGTGCAAGATGCTCCTCGCTCACGCCCTAGGCCAGTGATGGCGAACCTGTGACACGCGTGTCAGAGGTGACATGTGAACTCATTTTTTTGGTTGATTTTTCTTTGTTAAATGGCATTTAAATATATAAAATAAATATCAAAAATATAAGTCTTTGTTTTACTATGGTTGCAAAGATCAAAAAATTTCTATACGGGACACAGCACCAGAGTTAAGTTAGGGTTTTTCAAAATGCTGACACGCCGAGCTCAGAAGGTTCGCCATCACTGCCTAGGCTCATCCCTGTCTCCCCCACAAAGTCCACGTGAACATCTGGTGCAGAGACTGCGGAAGGACCTCTGAATTGCGGCCTTAGGGCCTGGCCGATGGGTAAGAGTCAGGCTTCTCTCTCTGCTGTCGATCCCTCCCCAGCTCCAAGGGCCCCAGACTGCTCCTCACCACCCAGGTCCCTGGCAGAAACCTCCCTACCCCAGAGGGGCCCCACTCACCCAGCAGCAGCGAAACTAAAGCTGTCAGTGGTTGAAGCAGCCGCAGGCGACTGGGATGTACATCCTGAAGCATTTTGGTCTTCAAAGTCCACGCAGAACTGGGCCTGAGTCCAGCAGGGTTCAGGAGATGAACCAAGGAAAGAGGAAGGAAGCTGGTTTACCCTCTCACATAACTTTCAACAGTCAGCAGATTCCATTTCTGCTAACGAGTCAGCAGCACAATCAAATGACTGTCCAGTCTGCTTTGAGACTAACCCTTTCCTGTGCAGCTGGTTTGTACTGTGGGACTCCTGGTGGGTTATGGTGCAAGTGAGCAACCAGGGACACCCAGGAAGCAGCGCTGGGGGCGGGGCCTTTGTTGTGAGTCTCAGGTCGGTGCTGCTTCTACCCGTACAGAAAGCTCTAAAGGAGTGTGACCCAGACAAGACGGAAAAACCCGTTTATATCTGCAACCAATAAGGATGTATGTTAAACAACCACAACCAAAGGGAGTAGTTATCTGTGGGCAACACCCAACCCAAGACAATCTCTAAAGACACCACTGTCCCTCCTTCATCTGCACTTCAAACCCCTGACTCCCCAACCCTCCAAACACAGAAGAAAGTTTTCAAGTTCAAGAAATAATTTTGTGCCCAGATGGCGTGTCTCAGTGGTTGAGCATAGATAGACCCATGAACCAGGAGGGCACAGGCCACAGGCGATTGCAGGCTCGATCCCCAGTGGGGGATGGATGTACAGGAGGCAGCCAATTGACGATTCTCTCTCATCATTGATGTTTCTCTCTCTCTCTCTCCATCTCCCTTCCTCTCTCTGAAATCAATAAAAACATATAAAATATTTTTTTAAAGATAATTTTGTTAAGAGAGCCGTAAAATAAAGGCTATATATCCTGTGCAGGTGGCTGTATAGTGTAAGTCAGCAGAACAACATGAAAAACCGTTAAAAGTCAGATTATGGGGCAAAAATAGACAAATGGAACTACATCAAACTTAAAACTATGTATTAGCCCTGGCCGGTGTGGCTCAGTGGACAGGGTGTGGGACTCTGGACTGAAGGTCCCAGGTTTCAATTCCAGTCAGGGGCACATGCCCGGGTTGTTAGCTTGATCCCCAGTAGGGGGCGTGCAGGAGGCAGCCAATTGATGATTCTCTCTCATCATTAATGTTTCTCTCTCTCTCTCCCTTTCCCTTCCTCTCTGAAATCAATTAAAAAAAATTTTTTTTAACTACATCAGCCTGGCTGGCATGGCTCAGTGGTTGAGTGATGACCTATGATCCAGGAGGTCACAGTTCGGTTCCCAGTCAGGGCACAGGCCCAGGTTGCGGGCTCCATCCCCCGTGGGGGGCGTGCAGAGGGCAGCAGATCAATGGCTCTCTCTCATCATGGATGTTTCTCTCTCTCTCCCTCTCCCTTCCTCTCTGAAAGCAATAAAAACATATTAAAAACACAACAGCTATACCAGTCAATAGAGTGCAAATGAGAGAAAACCGTTGTCTGGTGAGCTTAATATCTGTAATATATGAAGAATTTCTACAACTCAACAAAAACAAGTAACCTGATTTATAAAAATGGATAAAAGACTTGAATAAACATGTCTCTAAAGAAGACATATAAATAGCCAACAAACACATGAAAAAGACGTTCAATATCACTAACTGTTGAGAAATGCAAATCAAAACACAAGATGTCATCACCTCACACTCAGCCGGACGCCCACAAGACGTCACAAGACAGGAAGCAACACGCATTGGTGAGCATGTGCAGGTATCTGAATCCTGTGCACTGTTGGTGGGAATGTAAAATGGTGCCGCTGTTATGGAAATCAGTATAGAGACTCTTCAAAAAAATTAAAAATAGAACTTACCACATGATCCAGCAATCCTACTTCTGGTTATTTTTCCAAAAGAATTGAAAGCAAGATCTCAGATATCTGCACACTCGTGTTCACTGCAGCATTCTTCCCAACAGCTAAGCCAGGTGTCACCTCCGGGGAATGGACAAGCAGAAAGTGGTCTGTAATCCACGGCAGTCACAACAGGCAACCCGTCTAGGAAGAATCTGCAGGCGTTAAACTCAGAAAACAGAAAGCAGATGGTAGTTGTGGGGGGGGGGGGGGGGGCCGGGGGCGGGGGAGCTGCTTTGTACAAGGGGACAGTTTCAGTATCTCAAGCGGGAGCTCTGGAGAGCGGTCGCACCGCCATGTGGACAACACGCACCACCATGTGGACAACACGCATCTCCATGTGGGCAACACGCACCATGTGGACAACATGCACCACCATGTGGACAACACGCATCTCCATGTGGACAACATGCACCATGTGGACAACACGCACCGCCATGTAGATGACACACACCACCATGTGGATGACACGCACCCCCATGTGGATGACACGCACCCCCATGTGGACAGCACGCACCGCCATGTGGATGACACGCACCACTGACTGTCTAAAACGTTTCCGATGGCACTTAGCTCTCAAAGTTCAGTTTTCTCACCTGTAAAATGGACACTGTCTAGGTCATTGGTTCTCAACCTTCTGGCCCTTTAAATACAGTTCCTCATGTTGTGACCCAACCATAACATTATTTTCGTTGCTACTTCATCACTGTAATGTTGCTACTGTGATGAATCGTCATGTAAATATCTGATATGCAGGATGGTCTTAGGCGACCCCTGTGAAAGGGTCGTTCGACCGCCAAAGGGGTCGCGACCCACAGGCTGAGAACCGCTGGTCTGGGACCTAATAACAGCTCAATTACAAGAGGGCTCGTGTTTGTGAGTGCCCCGAGGGTTTTAAGCTTTGACTTTTGCTGGAAGGCGACTCCTTCTCCACGTGATGGGAGCTCGAGCTCACCTGTTTCTCTCTTCGGCAGAGAGCAGAGAGCGACCCAGACCTGGCGGCTCCGCGTGCGGGCCTGGAGCTCCCTCCTCGCCAGGCTTCTTCGCAGGTGGGCGCCTGGGCGTGAAGTTTCCTTATTTGGTCGTAATCTGGTCACGGTCGCATTACAGCCGGCTCCTTACCCCGCTCTCTTCCTGCCGCCTCAGCACCACCTCCTGAGCGGGCGGAAATGCCAGCTCCGCATTCTCGCAGCCCGCCGGCAGGTGCTTATCCCTCCCTGTCGGGCTGTGACCCTGTCGCTGGGCCTGGGTGGGCATCACCCGAATGGTGGCCAGAGGCGCCCCTCACTCTGCAGGGGGGACAGAGTGTCCGCGTCCAAATCATTTCAAAATCTGATTTTATGAGAAACGGTGCGGGGATTTCTGCTTCGTAACAAAGAAGAAAATAAAGGCAAAGTGTGACATCTGGTGCCAGCTGGTTCAAGCTACTGACACTGGAATTTCAGGGCAGAGCGTTCACTCATAGAACCACAGGCAGAGAACGCTAAAGCCCAAGGCCTTCCTGTGTATAAACAAGGAAGCCATGGCCAGACCGGGGCTGCGGCTGCCCCAGGACACCCCCTGAGTCCTGCCTCCACTCTCACCTGCACCTCCCACTCAGTACCTGCAGGTGACCGTGTCGATCTATCTGTCCATGTTGTCTGTCTTTCCATAATTCACAAGTAAGACCGTCAGACGGGGAGTTTCTCTAGGCCAGAGAGTCTCATGGATGTGTAACCCACTTTCCTGGAGTGTGTAAGTGGCCCCGAGAAGGCAAGACTGATCACATGCCTTGAGAATCAGATTTTATTCCCGAGTCCCACTGAGTGGCCTCCAATACCGACTCTTCTGTGTAGTAATGGTCAGAACGAAGGCTCGGGGCGAGCGTTTCTGACATGACACTTTGGAGGGAATATGTCCCTGAAGCTTAGGTGTGTATTTTCTCTCATTAGCAGATGGATGAGGACGTACTTCCAGGCCCGACATCACGTGAAGTGCATGACGGCACCCGCACCAATTTATAAACGAAACAATACGGGCCCTGGAGTTTGACACCAGGGAGTACAGTCATGATGGTATTTACCTAGAAAACCATCCAAATAATCGGTACTAAGAGGCCCTCTGTACCTCATCGAACCATGTTGGTGTGTTTATTGATTGACTGATTTCAGAACATAGCATCTTTTTACTGCTTCTCCCCTCGTAGCAAAATCAAACAGGTATGGTTCCTGTGGGATCAGGATTGATGGGTGGGCGTTGGTATATTGGCAGCAAAAAATACCTATGGCTGGAGGTTCATGGATTTCAAGGACAAATTTAAAATTATGTTCAGGAAAGAGTATCAAGTGTCAAAGTCAGAGAATTGTTCCAACTAGACCATCAAGAGGATTTGAGAGTCTGAGAGCTGGAGACAACGGAGAGAATGTTTTAGATGAATATCAAAGGCAATGCCTGCTGCCATTTGCTAAGTAGAGATGGACTTTCCATGTTAACCAGGATGTGGATCCACAGGCATCACCTGGCTGAGACTGGGGAAGAAACAGCTCCTGGTAAACCTGATAGACTCGATTCAGTGCTGACCACGTCTGCAGAGTGAAAGGACAAAGCAGAAACATACTCCCCTCACTCTCCCCTATCTTGCCTTGTAGGGCTGGGCCCTCAGCCCAAGCCCCCTCCTTTTCTGAGTGACCACAAGAATGCCGGTATTGACCCAACTCCCCCAACCACCACCTGAGTGGACCAATGAAGCTCCAGGAATGCAGCTAAGGTCCTGATAAGGCTATAGTGGGGGACGGCCCAAGCCTCAGAATGTGATGGTCACTTCCTGACCTTTGTGCTGTAAGACCCTGATGAAAAACCCTGACCTAAATGGCCAATCTCTGTAACCCACGTCCCCCCCTAAGCCCACCCAAATAACTAGCCCAAGGCCAAAAGTATGCTAGCCACCCGCCCTGTCTTTGTGTAACCAGACCCTAGCTGCACCCTGTCCCCCCCCACCCCAAGCCCTATAAATTCTTATAAATTCTTTGTTCTCTTGGGACTCGGGGCTCTCTCTTGCATCCAGTAATGGGGGGGGGGGGGGGCGCGGGGCAAGCGAGCTTGTATTAAAGACTCTGCTTTTGCATGGGACTGGCTGGCTCCCTGGTGTGGTCTTTTGGGGATCTTGAAATCTGGGCATAACACAGAGCAACGCTCTCCGACGGGAATGCAATATGAGCCACACACAAAGACTCCAATTCCCTAGTAGCCACATTTTAGAAAGTACAAATAAATAAATAAAAGCAGCAAATCATCCCATACCTAAAGGGGTGGTTTCTCTGGCATTTATGAAATTGCAAGTGTATCATGTTTACATTAATGCTTGTTATACATCCAGACGCACTCGCC